TCATATGAAATAATTGAATAAAAATGCATTTCAGACATGAATTCACTAATCATTTGTGAAAAATAAATAAAACATATATTTTATACACAATTCATATTTCAATAAAATGAACGCAAAACTCGTTTCAGACGTAAAAATTAGCCAAAAATTATTGAAATTTAATATCATTTCAAGGATTTTGTATTCAAATAGCTTTTCAATGATTTGATTAAAACAAATAAATACTTAAACCCTTTGGTGTCGACCCTAACCCTAGCCTTAACCACATCCCTAACCCTCGTATGGATAATGGGTTCATACGGTGCGACTCGTGAGTGAAGTAATGGTAATAAATACCGATAATTAAGACAAATATAACGAGCGGTGGATCCAAATGATGGCCAATAAGCAGAAGACTGAGAGTGAATCCGATGATAACCAATGCGTTCAGTATAATNCCTCGTATGGATAATGGGTTCATACGGTGCGACTCGTGAGTGAAGTAATGGTAATAAATACCGATAATTAAGACAAATATAACGAGCGGTGGATCCAAATGATGGCCAATAAGCAGAAGACTGAGAGTGAACCCGATTATAACCAATGCGTTCAGTATAATGAGCTACAATTCAATCAATTGATTACATTTAGCAAGGTTATTCTTACTTAGGCAATTCAAAGTTATTAAAAGTAATGTGAGCAAGCTCATTTTACCGATATCTTCACCAATCGATAGCTGAATGACTGGTCGTTAGCCATGTCTTCCGACACTATTGTCTTCCGGTGTATCACTCGATGTGTGGATGTCTTGAGACTAGACTTTGGAGATCACATCCAAAGACACAATTTGGGGGAACTATGGGTCAAACGAATGACACGATTGACAACTATATGACCAATAAATGACTATAAATGGCAATCAATGGATCACAACATCGGATATGTTTCACAAATGACTGATTAATACGTAAAGCAATGAATGATTGAAATTATCGTTCAGTCAATGCATCACTCAATGAAAACTCAATGAAAACTCAATGTTTTGTTTATTGAATGCAGTTTTTATTGCTTATCACGTGTTCAGTAGACACTCACCAATATATAACACATATAATTATAATCCAGATGATATAACTTGTGTTTTTTACTTTTTATATAATATTTGGTAATATTTAAATAAGTATTTTAATATGTATGATGACCTTGCTTATTATGTTAATGGATTTAATGATTGTGATTACAGTAAGTAGTGTTAAATGTATGCAATAGTGATGTCATAGCTTTTCCTTCGCAATTGATTACGCAATGACTTGTATTACACGTAAATTACGTCAAACCCATAAAAAGTGAGCAATTATGATAGACTATGAAAAACATTGTCTTTTCATTAACAAGTTTGTATCAATGTAATTTTAAGCAAATAGAGTATAGTGAAACAATTCCAATGTTATCATAATATTTGAAAATATTGTGGAGTTTTATTATTTTATTCATTAAAACAAAATACAATAACTTGCCTTCCTTTCAATTTTGTACAAGTTTATATAATTTTAGAAATATGTTTACTTATTATGCATCCTTAATTAAGTTGCTTTTGCATATAATGTTTGCTTAATTACGACCTTGTTTATAATCTACAGTAAATTCTTTGGGAATAAGTTATCTTAATAAATATAGTATTACAACTTTGTATAGCAATATTATAGTTAGACAACTTTTTTAATAATATATTTACAGTACATGTATATAACAAATATTTTAAATTTATAAATACTTGAAGCTTTATATCATTAAATATTAACTAGTAAGTAGTGAAATAATTGTCTTACTTTTAATAAAAATAATTAAAAATAAATTTGTATTGATTTAAGAGCACTGGCTATAGATGTCACTTATAAGCTGATTAAAAATTAAGATTCGTGACAAAAACTTATACACCAAATTTTACCTTGATGATCATTTATATGTGCGCATTTTATAGATTATATTTGATAAATATTGAACAGTTTATTAATAATTGTATTGTTTAACTATTTATCATACTATTGACATGTTTTCCGGTTTTACTAAACAAATGATATAATATTTAAGTGTAATTTTATAACCATTTATGAATAACTAATTTCAAAAATTCATACAGTAGTTTAATAAAATTTTATTTAAATTAATTAAATAATTTTATAAGGAATTGTATTTATTTATTTTTATTTAATACAAAAAATTATGACACAATCTCGGGAATTCTAACAAACTATTGCCTTAAAAATAAGCAAAATCTGAAATAAAAATCATGTTTCATTGATATAACATTTAATTTATTTGTCAATCTTTTTCAATGTTAAGATCAAATCAAATCCTATATCTATATATAAATTATTTATTTTGTCTACAAATTGATGTGTGTTTGGCGAATGAATTGTAGTGTTTAATCGTTTTAAACACATTTTTCTCATAACAGAGAAAGAGTTGTATGAATACAAGTTTTGAGACAAAGATTTATGAAAACTTGCGAAATGACGTAAAACTAATGCATCCGTTGATTAATAGATTGGAAATAAATGTATTTGTAAAAGTTTCTCGCATAGTATCTCATTGTTTCAAAGTAGAGGCCATTTATTATAATTATACTTTTGTATAAATTGAAAGTAATTTTCATTTTAAAATCAGTCAAACAGTTTTCAAACAAGTGTTCATTGGATATTGCTATTGACTTATCGAAAATGCAAACCAATATCATTGCGATCGTTTTGATTTCAATTTGTGTGTTAATTGAGGCACAAAATGTGGATCAAAATAGTGAAAGTTTTCAAACAAGTGTTCATTGGATATTGCTATTGACTTATCGAAAATGCAAACCAATATCATTGCGATCGTTTTGATTTCAATTTGTGTGTTAATTGAGGCACAAAATGTGGATCAAAATAGTGATGACTTGACTCCAGCGCCAAAGCCTTTCAGAAGAGGCTTTCCTGTTCGCAGCAGAAATCCTGTCAACACTTTTGGTAACAAATCATTGACTATCATTGAAAAGAAACTTTCATTTTCTAAACTTTTATGTTTTATATTTTGTTTTATTTGTATTAAACAGTACAGAGAGTGGGGGAGAGAGTGAGTGACGGCACCAATCGATTCAAGACTAGTGTTCAGAATATATTGTCTGAAGTGCGGAATCGGTCGCAATTGGCGGAGAAGAAGGCGAAGGACCAGATCAAAGAGCTCAGGACTCACGCCATCGACACTCTCACTCGTCTCAAGACATTAGACGCACAGGTCTTACAACTGGAGAAATATTTGAAAGAAGTGAACCAAACGTTTTTGGACACAAAACAAGAGCTGAGAAACGAGTTGACGAATCAAAAGACGGTTATCGATACACATATCGAGAGCACCGGTACTGAAAAGAGCACTGAATTGGAAGAGGAGTCTAAGAAATTGGATAAAAAGATAAATGAAGTGGATAATCTGAAACTGGTGCCACAGACTAGAGGGCTGGGAGATGGCTTTGGCAGACATTTGAAGTGATTTTTTCGATTTAATAATTGGCTTCAAAACTTTGACAATCGTTTCATTGAATGCTATTCAAAATTAATTAATAAAAATATTGTCAATAAAACTAAATTTTGAAACTTTAATATTATAAATATTTATCTAATTAATAAAGTACTGTATGTTCATTTAAGGAAAATATTTACCGTTATTATGGAATTAAATAAAATAACAGAATAATTAATTTAATGAAACAAAACAATTGAAACACAAGTACTAACATTGCGTTACCAGTAATTATTACTTTTTGTCAATGGCAATTAAATAATAATTAATTATTAGTTTGCTTTATTACTGTCAAACCATGTTTTCTTGGATTTAATTGCTTAAAATTATAATTAAAATACAAGTCATTATAATATTATTAATTAAAACTTAACGACTAGAAACAATAGTTTAAACTTAAGACAAGTATTAATTACATGTTTATAAAAACAAATAAAATATGATGATTTTACATAGAAATTTAAAAAATATTAATTTATAATTTAAAATATACATCTACAATTATATAAATTCATATAACATTAACACAAACTTTCATTATGATGTGGACAGTAGACAATAGGCGTAGCATTATTTGAATTACATTTATGATCAGGCTTAATATTTTCTTTATTTTTAATATATACCATAAAAGCGATGGAAAACATAATAGCAATCAAATGTATTAAAAACAAATTAGTCCTGATGAGGTTTACGAAGAAAAGTGAAATAATTATATTGAAAAATGTAGTTATGATGCAAACACAGAGCTTCTCGCGGATGACACCAATCATAGCGATCACGTGATTGGCCACAACGCCGAAGAAGATGATAATAGCTATAAAAGAGGCCAAATCATGGTATATATAGTCATTCATATCTCGGGAATCGTTGCACAAAACTGAAGTACTCTTTTGTCACTTCTATTGCCATTACAAATAACACCACAAAACATATAACTTTTATAGATAGTTTTAAATACTTTCTGACAAATTGAGTAACTTTTATAAAATATAAATATATTGAAACCATTTTTAAAAATTGAATTTTATACTTTTGTTTTATAGTAGTATATTGAACAATATTAGCAAAAATGAAATATATGTCAAAAGTTCCTGCTTATATAGGTTGTATTTCTATTGGTTTGCATGTGATACATACATGTTTTATGTAATATAGAAATAGGATTTGGGACTTGCACCAGGTATAACAATATATTAATTATTAAACTTTATAAATAATTAAATTGTTTACTTCTAAATATACAGTGTTTTATTATAATGGAATATTTCTAATAAATTACATTGTTTATAAATAATAAATCTATGACAGTAATATACAACTATGTATGTTACAACATATGTGTCAAAATAAAAAAAATCATTTATTTCCCTAATTTATTTTGTTACTTTTGTAAATGTAAGATATATGTTATTGTTGATAACTATACTAGAATAAGAATTACATTATTAAAAAGATGTATATTTTCGTAGCGAAATAAATGTTTCATATTATTTTGGCTCATATTTTGCAACAAATATTAAATATATCACTAATTAGGCCAATATTGTTAACAACATGACGCCATTGTAATTGAAACGCAGAAAATAGGTTTTAACGTTTTGTTTTTATCTAATGTTTCTTATATGGGAGCAAACCATATGTCATATAATTATACAGTTTAATCTTAAACTGTACAGACACCATTTATTATTTATTATATTTCTAGTAAAAAACTTTATATTACTGTATTAGTTGTCACTAAATTAGATATCAGATGTATGCAATCGTTGGTAATTAAAATAGGTAAAAAGTAGGCTAAAATAGGTACCTAGTACATAGTAATACTGTAGATACTACATTATTACAAAATTTATAAATCAAACATATTTCACATAAAAACATATATACATACAAAAATAAAATATATCTGGTTCAATATATCGGATGAGTCCTGACTAATATAG